TTCTTCTTGGTGCGCTTTTGGTAACTTGCCCTTGCTTCAAGTTGTTGCATCTTTGCCTCATTGTTACCTAGTTTATGTTGTAAATTTCCATGTCTTTTTGCCCTTTGGGTCTGGTTCGCCCCCATCTCAGGTAACCAATATCTAAAAGATTTTGTCATAGTTGTATTTTGAGTCGTCGCTTATTGTTTGCATGACTCTTTTCCTGAGTTTCCGGTTCAAGCTCTTCAAATATAGCTTGTCCATATGGGAATAAGCTCGTTTCAAATATATGTTTTTGTAGCCATTCTGGTTTTCTTTCCATGTTACCAATAATATCTTTTGTGAATGGCGAAAGCTTTTACCCAACGTTTCAGTCTTTGCGTCATTTATTTCTGTAGTTGGTTTTATTTTGTCATGGAACATGTTTTTCAATACTAACATTCTATTTGGTACTGTCCATTAGTTTTCTTAAATATTCATCTCCTTCTCGTTCATTGTCTGCAAAGTAAGTTTTTATGACATTATTGCAAACATTCGTTTGCACAGGTCATGTACAAATAGGTCTCTTCCTTCTCTCTCCCTAACTCTCTTTCTAAACTCTTCACCAAATATACCATATCTATGGTTCTGTGTAGTTCTTTGAGATAAATGTTCTAGAACGTCAGGTGTTATATTTCCCTCAGCCATGTTCATTTTCATACTGGTCCAAAATATTCTTCATCTTTCATATCTTTCAATGGCATTTAAAGCCGCGCACTGAAAATACCAGCTTATCTGGTTCACCTTTCACTTCCATTGCGTCTACAACTTCTTGAATTTGAGGTTGTAGTTTATGAACCACTATTCCGGATTAGCTTTTATGACCTCATCTCATTGTAGTTCCATAGTCTGCAGAAACAAAAGTAGGTTTGTTTCCATATTGGTTTAGGTTCTGAATGAACTTTAAACAATGTTTCATTTCTATATATGTTTTGTTGAAATTTAACCTTTATTTTCACCGAAGTTCAGCCAAAGAATTGAACTTTCATATGGTCGTAAAGTAAAAGGATTATTGTATTTGCGTCACGCTACATTCATCCTTTCAGTACTTCATTCTATGCTGAAATATTTTCATCTGATGTTGGAGTCTTTGTATGTCGGTAAACATTTTTTCGATATCCTTTCTACTATGTCAGGCCGAATTTTGCTTGAACTCTTGGAAAAGATTCCATATTCTCACTCATACACTTTGAGGGTTCAAGATTTTTCGGCTGTTCCAAATCTTCATCTAGTTCTGTGAAGTTAGTTTCCAAAGGAGGAGACTTGTTCGTTTTCCTTCAGGCTCTTCTAGCCTGTTGTTGCTGAACTATTCTTCCGTGTCTGTTGATTATCTGAACTTTCTTCCTGTGGAGTTCTTGTACCTCATCTGCTGGCGCATTCTATATTCCGAGACCGTTTTTTAACAAGTTCCCTCTCTAAGTCATCCGACTCATAAACCTTTCTTCTTTCGTCCGTCTCTATTTTACGCGTTTTCATAGAAGAGAGTTGAATTTATCATTTAGCTCTTGACATCAAATATCTCGAGTAAATTCATCCATGTCATTTGGGATGATATGCTATTAAATCATATCCCTTAGCGGGCTTGTATTTTCCAGGTTTGAGATTATATCCGATTTGATGCTGAACCATAAAGCTAAATAGGTTCGGTAGTATTTCCTTCCTTGAACTTTCTAATAGACTTCTTTATATCTGTCACTAAAGTCAAGAGTATGTGTAACCATAATCTTCCTTAACATTTTTTAAAATTCTTGGTTTCCTTTTTCTCTACTTCTTTTATGTCTTTGCTCTGTTTGTGGTTGCTGTGCTTGGTTGTGGAGGTGGTTTGTGTTGTCTGTTGGTTGTTGTTTTGTTGGTGCTGGATTTTGAACTGTTGGTTGTTGTGTTGGTTTTGGTGTCATGCTGTGTCTGTGTCCATGTGACGATGTGAATGTTTTAGGTAGTCCTGGTGCAGGTTTTCTCTGGAGGGTTTGGTGGTATATTAAGTTCCACCAGCTGGCACATATGTTCCATCTGCAGCCATAATGTCCTATCTTGACTTTCGTTTTTAAGAAAAGCATTTACTAGGTCTGTTTTGGTCTGTTTAACTCTTTTTTCTTGACTTTCCACAACAGCTGCTCTAACGGGCGTCATAGGCACTTTGAATGCCTTGCCTGTTCTCGTTGCTGCATCTGTTATTTTCGTTCATTATTTTGTGCTACTTCTCTTAACTCCTTTTGTCGAAACCTTCATGATCTTTTCAGTTTCTTTCAGATGAAGAAGTCGTTCACTAGTTTCACTTACTATGAATGACTTCGAAGCATTCTTAAAGTCAGCATTCATTAAAGTGCTATGTTGAACTGTCTTCATTCTCGCTTGTATTTTTGTCCTTTATTGACCTATATAGTTGGGCTGCTTTTGGCCGTTGGCTTGGCATCTAACCAGTCATTATTAGCTTTTATATATTCTGCGCTTTTCATTGCCTTTTGCATGGCTGCCGTCGTTATTTTACTTTTCTTGTGCTAAGTTTTCATACTTACGGTTTGGTTTGCAACTGTAAAAGTTTTTCTGCTTTACATTTGCTTCAACTTCTTTTTTATACTCATCGCCTATCCATATACTTGTCTTCATGCGCTTTTTTTTTATCTCTTCATCTTTCAGTACTTTATATTGAGTATGTATGGTTTTCAATAATTTATAACATCTTGTGTCATTTTGCTACTTCTGCTGCTCTTTTTCTGACACTTTTTTCGCATATCCTCTTGTACTTAGTTCTTTCAGTTGTTCTTCTTTCTTCTTTTTCTCTACGTTTAACTCATTGAGTTTCTTTGTGTGTCTGTCATATTCTAGTTTCTTTTCGTTTTCGCTTATTTGTTTCTGTATGTCTATGTTTGACTTTTTGACATCTGTTTTGATTTTGATGTGAACTCAAATTCATTTGACTTTGAGGGTTATAAGCTGTTTCCGTCTGCAGCTCCACCATAGCCTGCCATTTTCGCCTAAAAGTGCCGCTCTTAAACCTCCACTCTGTCACCAATAACTCGGTTTTAAAAGCATAGGGTTGCTTGACATTTGTTTGCAACATAGTGGGGTCATTCATCATTTGTTGTTGCAACTGTTGTTGTGTGTGGTGTCAGTTTTACTATTGGATTGTTCAAATGCTCCCTGCCCTCTTACGTATATCTTTACGTAGCTTACGTGGATTTTAAGTGAAGTTAAAAAGCGGTTTTTTGACAGATGTTTATATGACACTTTTTGTTTCAGCTCAAAAAACTACTGCTCAAAGTGTTTCTGTGTCGTTTTGTAATATTTTATATTGTTCTATAATATTTTTTAAAGTACTCCAAATATTTACTTTAGAAAAGTGGGTCTATCTCTATGAGCGTTGACGATAGACCATTATTGTATTCGAACAAATATATACTATCGTATTGTTAAAAATATTTGACAAGTGTATGTGTTCGTGTAAATCATCCAGTCAAAAGTTTGTCGATAGTTGAAAAATATGTATTTAAAAGTCAAAATGTTAAGTTATCTTCTCAAATATTTGAGATGTGGAAACGGTTTGCCAACGGAGACTTTTCAATAAAATAAAATTATAGATGGGTCTCCGTTGACGAAAACGGTTTATTTCAAACTTTTCTATTGAGTGGTCCGAAAAAAAACAGTTCATTTTCATAATGGAAGGAAGAAAACACAAGTTGTCGCAAACAATCGTCGACACCCTGCAGTTAAAGTTCCTACACTTTTGTATCTCACATTCTCAAAACCCTTAGACCTCCTAATAATCACAAAGCAATTCCTCATACAATCTGCCAAACAAATTGTCCAACAATTGGGTTCATTCTTCTCAAAACACTAACAG